TTAAACCCAAAAACATATTTAACATAAGTAACCACATACTTCATCCATGTCATCCATTCAACTGCATCTCAATATCAACCAAATATACAGCAACAAAAATATAAAAGGCTTAACATAGACATGCTTATCAATGCTTCAACCACATTATAAAAGCATAACCCAAAAAACATAAGCCTTGACATAAAAACATAGTAAAATTAAGTCTCTTTTTATAGCAATCACAAAAACTCATACATCCTGCCAAAAAAATATCAAGCTTCGGACTCAAGTACAGATGGGGGGTGGTTCCAACATCCTGCCAAAAAACAAACACTCATGCTCATTTTTTTCTTAACTATAACCCAAAGAAGGATATAAAAACGAATTACAAAATGCTATTTGTGGGTGGGGTGTCAACAGGCGCCAAACAGAATGTGTTGGGTCCTTTAAGAAGTCTGGATACCTCACTGTAAACACCCAGAAATTAACTGTTAAGTGCATGTACACATTAAGAACAATCAAAGGATAACTTAAAGAAGGTGAAAAACAATAGCACAAGATATCCTCCTCAAAATGAGAAACACGAGCCGTTCAAATAAACATATATGAAAAATAAATTGACTCGCCTACATCAACAATCGAGATCAACTACCACATTTGAACACAACACCAATTCGGGCTCATTTTTGTCCATAGTCGCATAGCTATCAAAAATTACATTTATTGACCTCTTTCTGCAAATAACCAATCTCCAGTGCATATCAAAGCCTCCACAAGTTGAGGCTTCAAAGCACTATGGTATTGGTCAAGAACCCTACCACTGATATTAAAAGTTGATTCTGAAATAACCGTAGAAATTAGAATACTCAACACATCACTTCCCATAATAGCAAGTTCCGAATAACGATACTAATGAACTCTCCAATAATCAAGTACAACAAATTTTTTGTTTACATCAATCCAAGGATAATATAACTGCAGGTAACTTTTTTGTATTCTAGAACTAGATGCATTACTCCCGGTTTCAAATACCTACTTTAGCAATGAACTTTTTCAATGTACATTACCAAGTACCAACAAATTTAATGTTATCAAATCACATAACTATAAGGAATAAAAAAAATCAAGTACCTTCAAACCCAATATGGACTCTTGGCTAGGATTTGGCCTATGACTCACCTCACCACCACCAAAAACTGTCAATGATCAGTAAGAACGGGCCATAAAAGACTTGCTCATATACTTATCAAAGAGAGCAAAAAGCTTGTCACATGAACATGCAAACACTCAACGGACCTTGGCTGTAAAGCTTCTTATAACACCACCCCACAAATTCAAATTTATACCGACGATCAAACAAAATTGCAATAGCCAATATTAGGCTTTATTCCAACCAATACTTCTCAAATTTTCCATACATTTGAAAAGACATTTTCCTCATAAAAGCATCTAAACTTTGCTTTTCTATACTCAATGTAAAGTGAATACTAGAAACTTGTTGAAAGTACAAGTTGGTTGTGTGATGCAATCTATAAGATACTCAAGGAAACACAAATTCGAAGATGTGAAAAACAATGGAATTGGCTTTCCATCAAGACAAAAATCCATATGGAACCTTGCATTATTGTATTTTGAGTCTTATGTTAAGTTAGTTTGAGTCAATTTACTAGTATTAGTATTTTTTATGTCTTTTTAATATTTTTTAGAGTCTGGGATATTTTTGTAATATCCAAAATTTCTGGAATGGGTCATATTTTTTGGTCAAATTCTAGTGTTGAATATTCTAGAATTTAAAATTCTAGTTCNTGGGATATTTTTGTAATATCCAAAATTTTTGGAATGGATCATATTTTTTGGTCAAATTCTAGTGTTGAATATTCTAGAATTTAAAATTCTAGTTCTAATTAATTTTAGTTTTTTAACTTTTAGGGACCTAAAGTTTTTGGAGTCCTAGAGACTTTGAAATTTTAATCTTTTAAGATTAGGAATACTTAAAACTCTATTATAATTAGTGATATTTTTAATAAAAGGGGAAGAGAGATATTTCAGAAATTTCATCAATTAAATGCTTCTTGAATTGTGTGATGCAATTCTAACACCTAGGTGTGATGTCTAAGAAACCCTAAGATTGATTTCTAGTCAAAGTTACTATTCACAGCCCATTAGTGTTCACAGATACTATTCACAGCCCCTATTATTATTATTACAAAGTTGTTCTACTTCAGTACTTCACCAACAATGTAAAATAATATTGCAATGAAAATTTACCTTCGATTATCTCTTGCAGCATACACAGGTGAATGTCAGTCGACCAAGTAAGTGGAACATAAGCTGTCTGAACCAATAAATTTAAGTCTCCCTCAACAGTTACCATCACCCAAAAGGCCAAACTTAACCCCAGCTCAGCAGCAATATATAAATCCAAGAATATGTAAAACTAAATGTGCCGGCTCAACTCCATAAAGCCATCATCTTGGGAGGAGAAACCACACACACTGAACAAAAAAAAAAACACCCCAGCTGAGAATACAGATACCTGGTTCAATAAATGCATTCACAATATATAAAACTAAAGTGTGCCAGCTCAACATAATGGCATCATCTGGGGATGAAAATACAGGAAAAGGAAGCTAAGAATATAAAGATGGAAGCATTTCATATACCTGTTTCAATGTATAATCTCCCCATCCCCACCCACCACCCCCAAACTAGAAATGAATAAATAAATAAAAGACTAACGAAAGAAATTTTGAAACCAGCAAGTAGAATGATATTTCCGTGCATACTCTGCATTTTCAAATGTCCTGAATCAGTCAAATTGCCAACTTGCAGATATACTATAGTACCATAAACCTTAAAAACATACAACAACAAACTAAACCATCGTTTACAATGGCATCATTGACTTAATTTTAGCAACCTCATTTGTAGGTCCATTATCAAGACCAAGACCTTAGTAAGCAACCACATACTTCCCACTTGAACAGTTAAAGAGGTGGTCTTTGACTAAAGTGACAATACCATCCTACCTGCTTGAAGACATATAGCACTCCACTCAGTGTGCCGCAGCTCCATGTGCTTGTTGTTCAACATGCAATGAATGTTTTCTCAGAACAACACTAAACATTCGTTTTCTTTCNTGCAGCTCCATGTGCTTGTTCAACATGCAATGAATGTTTTCTCAGAACAACACTAAACATTCGTTTTCTTTCTATTAAGAAAGACTCTTCCTGAGGACAGTGGTTAGAACTTGGCTTGTAATTCTATCAGCCCAAGGCAAATAGTCGCAGGGACAGTATAAATTGGCTTCAGAGTTATTGAGTTCAATTGCTCGGCAGATGCATTTCCCCTGCCCACAAATCCTCCAAAAAAACACCCAATATATTCCCCCATATGTTGTGGTAGCACTAACAAGTTAGAACATCCTTAGCATATTAACTTGTGTCTCAGTTGTTGAAATATTTATAAATGTGTACGATTCCCCCAAAACCTTTCACTAATCAGAACTTTCAGTGATATGGAAGTTCTTGTTTCTTATAAAATAAAATATTGCTGACCTATAAGTTAACACAAGGGAAAGTAACATACTCATCAGGAAGCAAACCATTCATCAGTAGACAGAAGTATGAGAAACCATTNCCAGAACTTTCAGTGATATGGAAGTTCTTGTTTCTTATAAAATAAAATATTGCTGACCTATAAGTTAACACAAGGGAGAGCAACATACTCATCAGGAAGCAAACCATTCATCAGTAGACAGAAGTATGAGAAACCATTATCTTGTGTTCTCTACAGTCCTTGGTAAAATTAATAGAAGATTCTTGAAACATGCAAAGAAATTTTTTGGGGGTTAATGGTAAATTGGTACTTTGCATCAGACTTTAATATCCAACCCACATTTTTGGAATCTAGCTATGTTCATTTAGAATAGTTAAGTGTTTTTAAACGATCTCCCAGGCATAGGAAAAGAAGCCATTTTCTCTGTTGGTTTTCTTGGAGAAACATGATAAATAATGCAAGAAACATCTTTCTTAAGCACATTCAAGGATATGGATGTCTGACATTTCACAAAATTTGAATTAGTAACTCTTGCATGTCGGACGGATGTCTGAACATAAGGGACCAAGTGTAGTAATCTAGACACAAGACACAAAGTCGTAACTAGCAAACAAGCAAAAGAACCACCTCTTCTTTAAGTTGTAAAATATACCGCTATGGCATCACCCAGAAGCAATTTATCATTCTGCAAGCATGTCTACGGGGTATGAGAATCTGAAATGAGGATACACTTCAGAAATCAGTCCCAGTCCAGCAATAAACAAGAGTCACAGATGATGAGGTAGAACTCCAGGCCATATAAAAGTTTGTAAGCAGTGTAGGAATCAAGATATGCAGTCAAGTCTAATAATCATAACAGGATATAAAACTTTTCTACAAGCATTTTATCACATTGATAATTTCAGCTAAGCTGAGATTGAACCTCAAGAGCCAGCCACATTTATACCGCCACCTCCCAGTAGATAAGATACAGCACATATGATGGTAATGGTTGAGGAAAATAACCTAAGGAATAAGGAATTCCAAAACACAATTGTCAATGAGTAAGTAGTGGCTCACTATGTGATAGCACAGCCATTGGTTGGTTGATTAATACAATCGACTTTGGAAGGCTAGGCGAAAGACTAGGAATTTTTGGTTCAAAGGGAAGTGAATGAGGTAAATCCCTCCCACCCCCTCTTCTTTCTTCTTCTCTTTCTATTCTCTGATTTCCAGTCCTTTCCGCCCGACATCACCATGCAACAGGACATGAGATGAGGAACACCACCTTAATATCAGCATGTAAATATAACACTCATAAAAAGGATTCAAATAAGTAAGAAAAACAAAAAGCACACATATTACTTGCCCATTTGATCATTGTCCTGCCTATTGGATTTGAAGCGTCTGTACACGTCTATGTGATTATTCTGATACTCCTTGAAAGTTGAATCCCATCCACCTAACGATCACATGTCTCTAGCATCAAGCCTTCTTCACAAAGACCTACAATAAGGATCGCTTTCTCTCACACCCAGAGAGACACAAAAAAAGAGAGGGGGGACCGGGGGGAGGATTTAAAATTAATCATCATAAGCAAGCAGGATAATTCAAGTTAGCATTAATCCTACACTATTCAACGGGCTGAGACACATGTTCCATAATTGCAGTAAGTTAAGCTAATTAGTGAAGGAACCATGATATATGACTATAAGGGGTTCAAATCGCTCTAATATGGTCTATTCAACTTCAGTGCCTTTACAAACACAAATCTGGGCAACAGAATAGACGAAGTGAAGTTCATGTACAAGTTTGCTTCACATGTATTATGAGGCTCTTACATGTAGACAAAACATGTGAGCTGGCACTACACTCGATAATCAAGGGGATACACTCTGTAAATCATAATGGGAATAAACTCTTCAGGCAAAGTGAAAAGTTAAAATTGTTATTGCAACACTAACAGTAATAATTTACAGTGCTTTAGCTACAACACACATCAAAGGTTCAAGTTACATATAAGATCAGGAAAAAAAGGCAAAAAAAACCAAGGTAAAATTAAAAAGCAACGACCTTTCGCGAATAGTATACAAATCGAAATGGGATTTTTACACCAAGCAACTCAACTGAACATACATAAATGCGTTCTATTTATTATCAGATCCATTCTCAACACCAAGACCATACAAAACACCTGCATATTTCTCAGTGGAGCCGTTAAAGAAGGTGTCTTTCAACTTCTTGAATGTGCATGAGGTGAGCAAACTATCCGAACCAGCTTGATGACAAATACCAATCCTCTCAACTTCCAAGAGCTCCGCGAGCTTGTTCAACCCACCATGAAGACTATTGCAAAACTTCATCAAATGCTTGATATCATAAACCACAGGAAAATACATATTGATTAAATCAAAGAACTCCGCTTGTGTATCAGGCAAATCCCGGCGAATCAACAGCTTAAGCAAATACCCAAAATCATATGCACTATGAAATGTCACCCAGCGCACACCATCATTCAAAACAATCCCTGACGACATCAAGAGCTCGCCAAACCAGTTTGCATCAATACCCATCTCATTATTTTTCTTGAAATCAATCCCACACTGTCTCAACAACTCGATGGAATCATTAGCGAAAATATCCTCAGTGACATCAAATTCGCGAAAATTGAACTGCCAAATGCAGTACGTATCAGTACCACAAGTGGGTAAATTCCCATCTTCATCGGAAAAAGTGAGACCCAACTGTATTAATTTCAACATATCAACATTGTCCTTCAAAGTCTGATAGTTATACTCGTTAATATTCTTGAAATTCCCCACGGGGCGAAGAACAACCCCTGGAAATTCAGTGTCCATTGCAATATAAGGAAAGCCATCAACTATGTCGCGAATCAGAGCAAACTCCTCTTCGAGATTATCATTCCACACTTCTCTAATTTGAATGGAATCACTCTTTGGCAACAGAGACATGATTTTGAAAACAAAAGGAGAATTCTTTTGGTAGTGAATCGACGATGGGTCTTCTTAAATCGAATCAGATCTGCAGTATTAACAGAACAAAACATACCCTAAATTATTTTTAACATAAAGAATGAAACTTTAAACAGCTAAAAATGACTAAAACTATTCAAGTGTGCATCCAATAGGAAAATTTGTGTGCGCGATTGTGTGTGTGAAGATCTGACCTTGAACTCGCGGAACTGGAGGCTAGGGCGAGCAGATCTTAAGCTTGTGAACATTGATTTGTTTCTTTTGGTAGAAGAGTGATGGACAGTTTGTGTTGGTTCAGCTCTGAGATAAACAGCAGAGAGACAGAGAGAGGAGGGGGGGGNTACATCAACTGAATGGGCAATGAAGGGAGAGAGAGACGAAAGGAAAAGCTATATTGCCATGGAAGCATGGAAACGACGACGTAATGCTATGGAGAGCGCAACATACGACGACGTCTTTCGGTGTTTACGTGGTTAGCAGGCAGCGGCCAGGGAAAATTACTTGATGAGGCAGAAATGGGAAAGTAAGATGGTGAGGGATATGATAGATTTGTCGATTCAGATATTTATAGACAGTATTGTCCTTTAGTATTATCTGCAGGACCTTATCGCACTTACTTTGAAGCCCAAGGTAAGATCCCATAAGCTCTTGATATTGATAAGTAAATTTAAACTACCCTCGTTATAAAAACTAATATTCAAGTTTTAAATGAAAAAATCTGAATTTTTATCTATTAGACCAATTATTTGGAATATATTGTCGTGTCGTGTCATGTCACATTAAATTTTTATTATTAAACAATATCATTTTTTATTATTTAAATTTATTAGTTTTGTGTCAAATTTATTAGTTGTGTATAAAATTATCGAAACTCCTTGTCATTAAATATATCACCTTGTAAAATTGGGAATGAAAATAACAACAACATAAAATACAATCCAAACAAAATAAATTTGGATAGTTTAATCCAACTGTTCCCTGATCCCAATCCAAATGCCGAACAACTTGAGGAACTCCATGAAGGATGGATATGATGCTCTCTACCGATGACACCGAAGAGAGGGAGAAAACCTAAGAATGAACTAGGGAAGAAGAGGACCACCTCTAGAGAAAATAGGAAGAAGGGGAAAGAGGAAAAACCAGTAAAGACGAACCAGACGGGTCCTTAATGCCCTTAGTAGGTCAACATCCATTTTCGTCTAGGCCCTAGGGGATAAAGTCTTGTGCCCAACAGTGGGACAAGAAATCATATATTAAAGATTACCAAGAAGATGAGTTTGGGTCAGATGAAGAAGAGAAAGACAGGAGCTNAAGATCTGACCTTGAACTCGCGGAACTGGAGGCTAGGGCGAGCAGATCTTAAGCTTGTGAACATTGATTTGTTTCTTTTGGTAGAAGAGTGATGGACAGTTTGTGTTGGTTCAGCTCTGAGATAAACAGCAGAGAGACAGAGAGAGGAGGGGGGGGGGGGG